CGTCCCCCTCACAGGGGGATTTTCAACGACAGATAAATTACTCACTGCGTGGAGCTCCCCATATGTGCATCTCATGTTTTATGTCATGCCACAACGAGCGTCTGTTCATGAACGCTTGACTATAATAGCGAACGGGCCCGTGTCCTACCCCCTGGCGGCTCTCCTTAGGGATGCTGAAACCAGCGCCCCGCCTGAGACATCCACAAAATCTGCTCTGAAAGCCAAGGATGTTGAGCATGAAAACGAGCAAACCGCCTGAGACATCCCCACAAAATGGCCGCGAACGGGCCCGTGAAAACACCCCTGGCAGCTTCACTAAGGGGTGCTGAAACCAGCGCCCCGCCTGAGACATCCTCAAAACCTCCTATGAAAACCAATGATGTTGAGCATGAAAACGAGCGAACCGCCTGAGACATCCAAACCGCCTGAGACATCCCTACAAAATGGCAGCGAACGGGCCAGTGCAAACACCCCTGGCGGCTCCCCTTAGAGGTGCTGAAACCAGCGCCCCGCCTCAGGCATCCTCACAATCTGCTCTCCAAGCGAAGGATGTTGAGCATGAAAACGAGCAAACCGCCTGAGACATCCCCACAAAATGGCCGCGAACGGGCCCGTGAAAACACCCCTGGCAGCTTCACTAAGGGGTGCTGAAACCAGCGCCCCGCCTGAGACATCCTCAAAACCTCCTATGAAAACCAATGATGTTGAGCATGAAAACGAGCGAACCGCCTGAGACATCCAAACCGCCTGAGACATCCCTACAAAATGGCAGCGAACGGGCCAGTGCAAACACCCCTGGCGGCTCCCCTTAGAGGTGCTGAAACCAGCGCCCCGCCTCAGGCATCCTCACAATCTGCTCTCCAAGCGAAGGATGTTGAGAATGAAAACGAGCAAACCGCCTGAGACATCCCCACAAAATGGCCGCGAACGGGCCAGTGCAAACACCCCTGGCGGCTCCCCGTAGGGGTGATGAAACCAGCGCCCCGCCTGAGACATCCTCCAAATCTGATGTGTGTTGAATGAATCAGACTAAGAGAAGGTCTGAGTATGCGTAGGTCGGAGTATAAGTAAATATGTGTATGAGTACGTCTGGTTATGAGTAAGTCTGAGTATGAGTAAGTCTGTGTATGAGATAGTCTGTGTATGAGAAAGTCTGGGTATGAGTAAGTCTAAGTATGAGTGAGTCCGAGTGGAAGGAGACGAGAAGAGGAGGGAACGAGAAGAGGGAGGAGGAGGAGGAGGAGGAGGAGGAGGAGGAGGAGGAGGAGGCGCCCGATTAATAGCAAGAACCCCGTCTTAGGATAGCGAGACTGAGTATGAGTACATCTGAAAATGGCTTGATCTGAGTAAACATGAATCTGATCATGAGAAAGTCTGAGTAAGAGTAAGTCTGAGTATGACTAGGTCTGAGTATAAACGAGTCTGAGTAAGAGTAAGTCTGTGCATGAGTAAGTTTGGGGAGGAAGAGAGGAACGAGGAGGAGGGAGGAGACCAGGGGTTTGGGTTGTGGTTGGGGTCGGCGGCTTTCGAGTAATAACAAGAACCCCACTGAGTATGAATGAATCTGATCATGAGAAAGTCTGAGTATGAGTACGTCTGAGTATGACTAGGTCTGAGTATACATGAGCCTGAGTGAGAGTAAGTCTGTGCATGAGTAAGTTTGAAGAGGAAGAGAGGAATGAGGAGGAGGGAGGAGAGGAGGGGTTCTGGTTCTGGTTGGAGTCGGCGCCGTCCAAGTCATAACAAGAACCCCATCTCAGGATATGGGGAAAAATAATCAAAAATACCCCACATGGTCCAACAATACAAACAAAAATCGTACCCATAGTATGTTTTGGCTCTTTTTTGAATATTCCTCCTGTAGAGGGGCAAACCCGACTTAAAGCTAAACACTCGAAGGCGCGCCGCCAAGTCTGCGGGCGGCCCACGACAGCGCCATACGGGACCCCCCAGCAGCCCTCGAGACCGGCAGCAGTCTCGCGGATCGCAAAACCCGAGGGACGGCGAAGTCCAATCTAGAATATGGGTGGTGCTTCACTCCGATGGACCCCCCAGCAGCCCTCGTCTAATCTGAGTCTGGGTGGAACCTCACTCCGCTGACCCCCCAACAACCCTCGAAAGTGGCGACAATTCTGCAGATCGCAGCGCCCCAGGGATGGCGAGGCCTAACTTGAGTCCGCGTAAGACCTCACTCCGCTGGACCCCCCAGCAGCCCTCGAAAGTGGTGACAATTCCGCAGATCGCAGCCCCCCAAGGATGGCCTGGCAAGGTCTATCGTATGTCCGCGTAGGACGTCACTCCGCTGGACCCCCAACAACCCTCGAAAGTGGCGACAGTTTCGCTGATCGCAACCACGCAGGGCTGGCGAGGTCTTACTTGAGTCTGTAGCACGTCACTCCGCTGGACCCCCCCGGAGCCCTCGAAAGTGGCGACAGTTCCGCAGATCGCAGCCCCCCAAAGATGGCGACGTCTCATTTGAGTCCGCGTAGGACGTCACTCCGCCGGACCCTCAGCAGCTCTCGAAAGTGGCTGCAATTTCGCTGATCGCAGCCCCCCAAGGATGGCGAGGTCTGATTTGAGTCCGCGTAAGATGCCACTCCCCTGGACCTTCCAGACGCCCTCGAAAGTCGCGACAGTTCCACAGATCGCAGCGCCCCAGGGATGGCAAGGTCAAATTTGACTTCGGTCAACACGTCACTCTGCTGGACCCCCAAGCAGCCCTCGAAAGTGGCTGCTATTTCGCAGACCGCAGCCCCCTAGGGATGGCAAGGTCTAACTTGTATGTCCGCGTAAGACGTCACTCCGATGGACCCCCCAACAACCGTCGAAAGTGGCGACGCTTCCGCAGATCGCAGCCCCCCAGAGATGGCGAGGTCTAGGACGTCACCCCGCTGAACCTCCCAGCAGCCCTCGAAAATGGCGAGACAGTTCCGCAGATCGCAGCCCCCTAGGGCTGGCGAGACCAAAATCGGATCCGGGTAACACGTCACTCCAACGGACTCAACAGCAGCCCTCGAAAGTGGCGACAATTCCGCAGATCGCAGCGCCCCAGGGATGGCAAGGTCCAATTTGAGTCGGCGCAGGACATCCCTCCGCTGGACCCCCCAGCAAGCCCTCGAAAGTGGCGACAGTTCCGCAGATCGCAGCCCCCCATGGATGGCGAGGCCTAACTTGAGTCCGCTTAAGACGTCACTCCGCTGGACACCCCAGCAGCCCTCGAAAGTGGTGACAATTCCGCAGATCGCAGCACCCCCGGGCTGGCGAGGTCAAATTTGCCTCCGGTCAACACTTCACTCCGCTGGACCTTCCAGCAGCCCTCGAAAATGGCGGCAGTTTCGCAGATCGCAGCCTCGCAAGGCTGGCGAAATCGAATTTGAATCCGCGTAAGACGTCACTCCGCTGGACCCCCCCTGAGCCCTCGAAAGTGGCGACAGTTCCGCAGATCGCAGCCCCCCAGGGATGGCGAGGTCGAGTTTGAATCCGCGTAAGACGTCATTCCGCTGGACCCCCCAGCAGCCCCCGAAAGTGGCGACAGTTTCGCAGATCGCAACTCCCCCAGGGATGACCAGGTAGGAGGCAAGCATTCGAAACGAGTCCAACGCAGGAGGGTTTGAAATAATTCGAAGCCGAAAGACATTACCACCTAAATCACCGTCCCCCGCTCCCGGGAAATGATGACTACAGGACCCCCCGCGAGGGTGGGGCCTTGGATCACACACTCTTTTGCAGTGAATTCGATTCGTGAAAACGGATGAAGCCTGGTTCGGGACGTTTCACTTGAGACGTCCTTAGAATTTGCCTGGCGTGGCCCCTGGTTTGGCCTGGCTTGGCCTGGTAAGGTCTGGTTTGGCTGGGCGCCATGCCTGAAAATCCTGACAGTCTGCCTGCTTTGGCCAATGGTTTGACCTGGCTTGGGGCTGGTTTCGCCTGAAACGTCCTCATAGTTTACCTGGTTTGGCGTGCGCTGTCGGCACAGTTTCGCCTGAGACGTCCTCACAGTTTGCCTGGTTTGGCTTGATGTCCATTGTTTCGCCTGACGCGTCCTCACAATTTCCCTGGTTTGGCTTGGTGTCGGCGCGGTTTCGCCTGAGACGTCCTCACAAGTTGCCTGGTTTGGCTTGGCTCTGGCGCGGCTTGACCTGCGACGTCATCACATGTGTTTGGTTTCGTATGGCTCCAGTGCGATTTCTCCTGAAGCGTGATCGCGATCTCGCTGCGTTGGCCTCATTTGGGGCGCGGCTTCGCATGAGACGTCGTCACGAGTTGGCATGGCTTGGCCGCGGTGTCGCTGGAGACGTCCTCACAAGCTTGTGGTATGTATTGGGGTGGGATTCGCCTAGAGCGTTCTCATACTTTGCTTGGTTTGACATGGTTCGGGTGGCATCTCGCTTGAGAGGTCATCCACATGTGTCCCGAATGGTCCAGGTCAGGGATGCGGTGCAAGCTACGTGGTGCAAACCCGCATCTTCGCGAGTTATGTGATGTGAGGCATGTAGCGCAAAATTCGCCTGCCCAACGGGCCAGAGGCGTGCTAAGATCTCCGGTAACTGGTTAACAATAATTCTAGTTCGCGCGCGCGGGACGGCCCCTGGGGGTCCCCCGGCGAAAAGTACCCCGACCGAAGCCCGGGAACTATTACTCAGAGATGGTTTCCCTCCTGGGTGCGGCCTTCCACGCCCCCCGGAGCGCGCCAAGAGGGCCAAAAGAGGCCCCCAAGACGGTCCAAGAGGGCTCCGAATCACCGAACGACCGGCCCAAGACGCCCAACACGGCGTCAAGACGGCCCAAGAGGCCTCCAAGACGTCCCAAGAGAGCCCCGACCCTGCCCAAGAGAGCCCCAAGAGGGAAAAATCAATGATTTTCCTTAGGTTTTTGAAGGTTGTTGGCTTCCTCGCCTTTTCGCCGTTCCGACGCTCCAAGACGGCTCAAGAGGCCCCCAAGACTACCCCAAGACGGCCCAAGAGGCCCCCAAGAGAGCCCCAAGACCGCCCAAGAGGGCCCCAAGACAGCCTAAAAGGCGCCCAAGAGGGCCCCAAGAGGGGCCCAAGATGGAGACCACGAACCGAAAATCCGAGCCTTCCGCTCCAAGAGGCCTCCAGGACGCGCCAAGAGGCCCCTAAGAGGCCCCAAGAGGCGCCAAGAGGCCCGAAAGAGACCCCAAAAGGCTCCAAAACGGAGCCCCAAGAGGCCAGCCGCGCTCCCCTCAGCAAAAAGCTCTCGGCGAAGTCGCTACTTGCGCCCCCTCTGCTGCTCCATCACTCCCCTCTGGCTCCTCTCTCCGCTTCACCCCCCTCGTACATTTGCCTCCTCCCCCTTCCCCCACTGAAGCTGCACACTCCCTCCCCCGCCTCCTCCTTTTTCTTATCCTCCTCCTCCTGCTCCGCTTTCCCCCTCCTTTTCTCGCCAATGCACTGTCGCCCCTCTGCACTGCGACCACCCCCTTTTGCTCCCTTCCTTCCAAGCCCACGCACACACACTCTCTCTCTCTCTCTCTCTTTCTCTCTTTTCCCTCTCACGTCGAGGGGCATACCTGTCGCAACAGTTACACTGTGTTCATGGCCCCCGCATGAGCGTCCACGAGCAACGAGCCCCCATCAAGGCGCCAGGGACACCCCAGAGCGGCACAACCTAGAAGCCCCGTGGAAACAACGATTCCCCCGACACCTCAGAAGGTCGACACGAAGCTGTTTCGCGGGGGCAGCTTCAACACCACCATCCCGAACGCAACGCTTCAGAAAAAAACATGCGCCGACCCCTGCAGCTTCGCACTGCCGACGACCTCTCGCCCAATCGACCGCGGTGCCTCATCATGGGCCGGCGGAATGAGCGAAGCGATTGAATATGTGGAAGCCGTGTTGGGCAGGCTGTGTGGCCCAAGCCCTCCTCGTCGAGAACTCTGCGGGGCAGGCTTGCCAAGCGCGTGGTGGAAGCTATATATTGCGCAGGCTATGTGATACGCGCGCACACACACACGCAGTCGCAAGCTGCCTGGTAAAAAAAATACGTGGTGCAGTGTATGCGGCGGAACCTGCATGGCACAAACGGTGCGGTGCCAGCCCACGGCGTGGGCACGGTGTCCGGCGTCAGGAGCAAACACTCTCCCGGGGAGGTAGGGACTCGCATGACCACGCCGGTACAGCGCCCGAGCCTGAGCTGGCGAGGGACTCCAACAAGACCGCGTCCTTGCCTTCGTTTCAGCCCTCGTCCCCAGGACAATCGTACTCATCATCCTCACTATCGCCCTCGTGTGTAGACGGTGCACCGAAAAGAAAACTCAATTCGGTTCAGCCTGCATGCCGGCTGCGGGGACAGCGATCTTACCAGAGGGCACGCGTCAGCGAATGAACTGAGCTGAACGGACCTTAAACTTAAACTCCTTCCTGCGGCAATACTGCTGCGTAGACAAGGCGGCGGAGTTTTCCGCAGGCAGATGGATACATTTATTTCACATCAAGCATCTCTCCGTGCCTGGGCCGTCCATGAGAAACGGCGAATGGATCCAAGAATGCCAGCGGCGCCCCTAGCCCAGCTGCACTTTTATGAAAACTGTCACGACGACGTTGTTTTTCCTCAAGTTTGATGCGTCTCAAATTCAGACGGTCTTGGTGACCTCCTCCGCACCTCAAAATATCACGATCTCCGAGGATCCGGCGTGTGAGATTCAAAAAAAGTACATTCAGGTTTCAGCACTGCTGAAGCTACAACCTGAGCTTCAGCTCTGCGGGGGGTGGAAGGGGCAAGGTGGCTCTGCTGGGGTAAGTGGGGAGGGGGGGGGGGGCACTAAATTCCCAAACCGCACCAAGACGGCCCAAAAGAGGCCCAGGAGACCACCAAGACGGTCCAAGGGGCGCACGAGACGGCCTAAGATGGCCTCAAGACGGCCCAAGAAGCTTCCAAGACGATTCCAGAGGGCCCCACAGGATTCACCCCAAGAGGACCGCTGAAGGCCCCAAGAGACTCCCGAGTCGCTCCCTTGAGGCCCCAAGAGGCCTCCAAGAGGTCACCAAGAAGGCCCCAAAAAAGGCCTAAAGAGACGCCCCGATAGGCGCCGCCTCGCGCGCTGCCGGGCCAGAGGTGCACGGTCTGTCTGCCTTGGCCTTGCTCGGAAGCGCATTCGCTGAACAAGACCCGGGCAATACCTCCGAACACCTCGAACCTCAAACCTCTTCGCTCCTCACTGCGCGGTGGCGGCAGCCCTCGAACACCAGGGACGCCCCTGGGCGGCGGCACAGGCCAGAGGCCATCAAAACATTGCTACGACCCGAGGTCCAGACCCAGAGCTCTAGCTGCGCATACCGACGCAATGGTTTGTACGCAACGCGTGGGAACCCAAAGCCCGCCCGACTAAGTTCGAAAGGCACTTTGGGTGAAACATCTGAGTCCCCAGTGCGCTCGGCTTCCATCGCTCATGGGCACGTGCCAACGCACTCTGGGAAGCGACCTCAATCTGACACCACAACCCACACCTTCTTGATGGTCTCGATGATGTCCCAATGACCGCTCCATCCCTTGGGCAGCACCACCGTATCGCCGGCCTTGCAGCGATGAGCACTTCCATCAGCGTTGGTCAGAAAAAATAGACCCTCCAGTACATGGAAACACTCTGTAGTTGGTCTGCACTTGACAGGGAAGCCGCCAGCAGTACATGTCCAGCAGCCCACACTGGTCGTGCCAACACTGTACACCTTGCGCGTGGTGCTGGTTGGCTTGCCGTACGCTGCATCCTTGCGAACACCCTGCGGGGTCATTGCCTCAGGAGCAAAGTGATCTAGCGGGGCTACCTGCGCCTTGGCGGACGCGCCTTCGACCTCCCCATGGTCGTGCACAACCCAGACCTTGTGGAATGTCTTGGCAACATCCCATCGGCCCGCCCAGCCCTTCGGAAGCGTGACGGTGTCTCCCTGGCCGAAGCGGTGCACCTCGCCATCCGAGTCGGTGACCGACGCCTCGCCTGCGAGGACGTGGAAGACTTCAGTGGTCGCGCGGGGCTCGGATGACACCCAGCCGCCCTCTGTGCAGCTCCAACTGCCAACAGATGCCGTGCCCACCTTCACCAGTGGCCGTGTTGCGTCACGCGGGTCTCCCGCATCGGCATTTTTGCGCCGACCCTTCGGCGTCAGGGCCTCGAGCGCAAAATACGAGGGCGGCGCATGCGAAAACCTGATGGCACCCTCCGTCGCACTTGCGGCGCGCTTTGCATCTCCTCGGGCGTCTGCCTCCGCGGGCGCGCGCTTGGCCATGAAGAGGCGGAGGGAATGCCGGCCAGCTCCTGGGGCCAAAATCCCTGGAACCAAGCTTGCTCGAGCCCAAGCGGCCATGCACAGATGCACATCATTGGTCTGCGTGCGGCCACTCGTGGATGGCGACCGCCGTGGACACACCGATGGCACCTAGCCTTCACGGCTCGCGTGCCTCTGGGAGCGGAAGAAGAAAGGGTATCCTCGACGTCGTGTATCAGAGGATGGGCAAGGGGGCGTCTTCCAGGTCGTAACCGCTGATGCGCAGAAGCCATTGGAAGATCTTGGTAATAGTTGATTGCCCTTCCCACCGTGTCTTCTGAGATGCGCTTCAGACCACGCTGGGCTTCAGCATGGGATGTGAGTGCGCCGACGATGAAAAGGATCTACACGCCGATGTGCAGATGTGTGCGTTGCCAGATATGTTAAGATGGCCTGTTCCTGCTGCGTAAGACCAAACGGGACGACTCCAAAGGGCGTCCAGGAAGGTTCCATGACAAGTAGGCGCAAGTTCCAGCACAAGTGTTCACGGAGGCGGGGTAAGCCGAAGGCAGCTCAGTAAAGTACAGGGCATGTGGTACAGATGCGGAAAAAAGGATAAGACCATGCAACACGCATAAAGTATCACTGAACGTAGAGCCAAACGCATGAGTTATGGACTATGGAGCGAAAGTAGCGTGCAGCCTGCGTGATTGGATGGTCGGGATCGAGGTGTACAACATGAATGTAGGAAGCGGAAAACAAAGGAAACCGAATGAAGAGCAGGAACTCATAGAGCAAATAGGAGAAAGTACGAAGTTGACAAGTCGAGCGGAGAAAGTGGAGAGCAAAGAGGGTCACGGGTAGGGACATAGAGGCTGGAGGGTGGAGGGTATAGAGAGACGGTAGCAGGTGGCAGGGCAGCGGATAGAGAGAAAAGAGAACGGAACTTATCGGATATATAGTGCATTTACGGTAGGTTCGTGCGGCGTCGGCGCACGCAAAGGTTTTCAGACCCCGCCGATCTTTCAACCTTGAATCCGATCGCGGCCCCGATCGTTCAGGGTTGAATCTCGTCGGGTCCAGTGGCGTTACCACGTCCCTCGGTGCTTCCGCGTCGCAGAATTCAACCTTGAACGCCTTCGCTGGTGTCGCCGGCGCGCCAACGCCGCATGAATCTACCGTACGTAGAAAATTGAAAGGTCAAGCAACTAGTAGAGAGCATAGCAAATAGGGAATATACCTTAGAGCGTGGAGGGGTAGAGGGATAAGAACAGAGAGCGCAGGGTAGAGAGGATGGAGAAAAGGGCAGACAGTGAGGAGGTCAGTGGGGAAGTATACAGCAGCGAGCGGATTGTCAAGGCAAAGGACGTCTGCCAACAGGCATCAAACATGTACACGGAGCGCGGCCGAAATACTGTTGGCGTTGGAAGGACAGTGTACAGCATCGACCTCCGTTAAGCACGCTGTCCCTGTGAGGCGATACCCCCGCGAGGGCCCCTTCCTGTGCAGGCCATCCCCCTGCCAGGGCTTCTTCGGTGCGCGCAGTCCCGAGGTGGAGGGGAATAGCGTACAACAAGCGGGCCAGCGGCGCCACATCGCACGCTGTCTTTCCAACGCCACCCGTGAGGATGGAGGCAGCATGCGTGAACACGTGGTTTAGTGATACAATAGGGGGCCACTTGCGAACCCTACCCCTACCTCCTACGATTTCTGAGGGGGAGGGTGGGGTTCACTTCGCTCGGGAGCTCCTGAATTATGTGAACCCCACCCTCCCCCTCAGAAATCGTGGGGGGTAGGGGTAGGGTTCGCAAGTTGCCCCCTATCCAACTCAGACAAATCTACAAATAAAGAACGCGACGGGATGCAAGATGGAGATCCGCCGGGAGGCGCAGTGCTGTGAAATGTTACCGTCCTGCGATCTTTGTGTTGTCCTCTTCTTCTTGCGCGTTGTCTCGTCAGTCGAGGCGGAGAAGCGGCACGATGTCGGCGGCGGTGGAGGGAAGCAAACATTGAAGACTGTTTCGCCACACCTTATACTGCTAGGCGATCGACGCTTTATCCACGCCCCTGCTCACGCCGAAACTTGACGAAGGGCCAGAGTGGCGGCACGGAAAAAAAAACATACCTCGGGAGCTGGTAATATTTATGCATGCCCTGCTTAGCTTGTTGTTTTGTGTTGCGCTTTCTCTCTCGGCTCAAGATGGCTCGAAAAAGACCTCCGAGAAGCCAAAGAGATGCCGAAAGAGCCCAAGAAGGGCTCCAAGAGGCCCCCGAGACGGCCCAGAACAGCCGAAGGCGAGCCCCAAGACGGCCCAGGTGGGGCCCAGGACAGCCCGTTAGGGCCCCGAGTGGCCCCCAAGACAGCCCACAAAGGCTCTCCAGGCGGCCAAGAGGGGCCAAGACGGCCCAAAACGGCACCGAGGCGGTACTGAGACGGCCCAATAGAGCTCCAAGACGGCGCGAGAGGGCCCCAAGATGACCCCACACAGGTAGCCCCCATGAAAACCCTCCAACGAATAGAGACGAGAGGTGTCACATGCTACGGCCTTCTGGGCAGTGCTCGAAGCGAGAGAGCTGCGCTGGCACGGTGGCGAGACCGAGGACACGTTAGCAAAAAAAACGAGTCGCTGCGAAGCAGCGTGCGCAGGACACACTGCATTGAAACACAGTTGTTCATATTACAGGTGTCCCCCGACAAACGAAACGCAATACGAAACACGTAGATGCCAACGTCTAGACATGGATTGACCGTATGCATAGTCGCTCGAGATATTGCAACAGCAGCGCAGCCAAGAATTCGTTTATACCTAGTGCTACCCCTCTATATATATACACACACCTACATGCACCGATGAGTCTAAATCTATACACAGAGAGAGGGACATGCATACACATTGCAAAAAGCGCGCGAGAGAGAGAGGGATGAAAAAACTATGAGTGAGAAAAGCTAGAGCTCAGGATGGGGCTTGGCTGCAACAGGAAGCAGGAAGCAGCGAGAAACCTGGTATGATCGAAATTCTGGAGCCGCCACATGATGTGAGGGATGTGGGAAGTGCAAGACAGGAGCTGCGGGTGAGATATTGCACGCACGGTGCGATGAGCGCAGGACCAAAGACGGCGACCCCCGCAGCACAAGCGGGAACGGAGAGGCGCACCTGAGCTTCGGAAGCTGATCTCCGAACTTCAGCGGAGCGATCGTGGCGCTCAACGCCTGCCCACCCCGATCTCGAAGGCCTGCTGTCTCGGCTCCCGATCCGCACAGATCACACCTGCGACTGCTCTAACATCCCTGCCGAGTGAGAGCCAGATCAACGCGTGTTGCCTACAAAGGCTTTGCGCAGTGAACGGCCGCATCGTTACGATGAGGAAGAGATAACTTCACTGAGAAAGCGACTCTTTGGGATGGAACCCATGCATGCTCATCGCAACCTTCGTAACATAAGAATCAGGGTGCGACAGTGAAAAAGACAAACCCAAGCACTCATCCCTGGTATGACACGCTCCGCAATAAAAACAATGACCATAGGCCAAGCCTACCACGCCTCAAACACGCAATCGATGCGACGATCTCCGATCAAGCGCATTCCATGCTGTGCGCTCTCTCTCTCTCTCTCTCTCTCTCTCTCTCTCTCTATATATATATATACATATATATATATGTGTTTTTCTCCCCTCGTTCGTTCGTTTTTTTTCCACTTGGCGTGCTTGAGAAGATCGGGCCACCACAAACGGGTATCAAGCGGAGCTCAGGGCGCTCCGATTACACCAAGAACTTCATAGAAGAAGAAACAACGCCATGAACATAAACTGTTGGCGCTCCGCACGGATCTCTTGCATCTGCGCTGGGGCCCCATCCCTGGCGCGCGGAGCGCGCCAGGGGCGGCGCCGGAGGCGCCGCCAGTGGGCCCCAGCGCGGATCCAAGAAATCCCCGCGGAAAGCCAAAAGTCTATGTTTATGGCGTTGGCCCTGGGCAAGAGTGACCCTGGGCAAGAGTGACCCTGCGTTTTCCCTTCTTCGAGTGACCCTGGGCAAGTCGGGCCAGCCGCTCCGCAGGGCCACGTGCAGGCCCAGCAGGCAGTCCCGGACCTCCGGGGCCCGCGAGAGGCCCCGAGGGCCCCGAGGCCCCGAGGCCCCGAGGAGTGGCTCCGGCTCTTCTCCAGCGCGGCTGTCGGGGCCCCGCGGGGCCAAGTCGAGGCGCGCAGGCCCATGCTCGGGGGTCCCCTGGGAGCCCGCACCAAAGGTTCCTCTGGCGAAAGGTCACCTTCTTATACGCAGCCGAATAACGTGCAGTCGCCGACGTGCTGTCGTCGTCCTCCTCCTCCAGGCCCCTCCTCCTCCTCCTCCTCCTCCTCCACCTCCTCCTCCTCCGCATTCTCCTCCTCCTCCTCCTCCTCCTTGTCCTCCTCCTCCTCCTCCTCCTCCTCTCCCCTCCTCCTCCCTCCTCCTCCTCCTCCCTCCTCCTCCTCCTCCTCCTCCTCCTCCTCCTCCTCTCCTCCTCCTCCTCCTCCTCCTCCTCCTCCTCCTCCTCCTCCTCCCTCC